CAGGCTCAGTAGTTGTGGCGCACGGGCTTAGTTGCTCCGTGGCACGTGGGATCTTCCCGGACCAAGGCTCAAACCCACGTCCCCTGCCTTGGCAGGTGGATTCTTAACCACTACGCCACCAGGGAAGCCCCTCTTGTTATTCTTAATTGCTTCTTTCTGTTGGTTTTCTTCGTGGTATTCAAGACAACTTCTAATTAGGTTGAACCATATGAAATTATTAACACTTGACCAATTTTGACCTACAAAATGGCAGTTTTGGGCTTCCCTGGTGGCACAGTGGTTGAGAGTCTGCCTGCCAGTGCAGGGGACACGGGTTCGAGCCCTGGTCTGGGAAGATCCCACATGCCGCGGAGCAACTGGGCCCGTGAGCCACAATTACTGAGCCTGCACGTCTGGAGCCTGTGCTCTGCAACAAGGGAGGCTGTGATAGTGAGAAGCCTGTGCACCGTGATGAAGAGTGGCCCCCCTTGCCACAACTAGAGAAAGCCCTCGTGCAGAAACCAAGACCCAACACAGCCATAAATAAATAAATTAATTAATTTTAAAAAATGGCAGTTTTATGTGGTTTAACTTAGTATCTATTTACTTGCTTGTCTATTGCATGTCCGCCAACTGGACCATAAACTCCTTGAAGGCAAGGGAGCACGTCTGGTTTGCTGGCCTAGCTGGTACCCAGCACAGAGCTGGCACCTGGGTGATACTTGTTAGCTATTGCTGGGTGTCAGGACCTGTGGCTGGTCTTTGGTCTCCAGCCCAACTTGTCCCCCAGCTGTTTCACTCCCCTTCCTCTGAGGGCACCACAAAAAGGCTTCTCCCTGGGTCCTGAGCTGCCAAGGGTCGTGACCTAGAGCCTGTGTGGTCCCAGGGTGAGAGCCTCTGCCCCCACCCACTCCAAGCATCCCCAGTGCTATGGGGTCAGTGTTGGCAGCCAGGGCAAGTCCTGACTGTAGCTTTGTCCTTTGACCTCAGAACTTTCTTGTGGGCTCTACCCTTCCAGCAGGCAGCATTCCTGATGCTGGAGCCCCATCCGCACCTGGCTGCCTGCGTGTCTAGTGGGGCTCGTGTGCCCACTGCTGGGTTTACACAGCCCTTCATCCTCCCTTGCTCCTGCTCAT